AGAAGTTAGTTATAAACGGTCTACCATTTATGTGCATTGTGTGAGTGAAGGATCTTCTCATACCTTCTGTATGCGTACCTAGTTCGAATTGTGTTGAATTAAAGAAGAAATTGAATAAAAATAAAGGATAAAGCATTTGCCGTTGATCAATCCCTTTTTGGGATGCGGCACGCATTCTACTTCCATTTGTACATTCGTAGTGGCGTTTGAATGCGATGTGGCCTATACAATGACTTGCGGGGGCCAGCCGATGTACAAGTCAGTGTTTTTATCCTCCCAGACAAGTCTGGTACCAATTAACCGACCCCGGAGGGATGGAAGGCTTGGTTGGCCCGGGCGACTCACGACCCAGGATTTGATCCCCGGACCGCTCGCGTGGTGAAGCGCGCCACTTGTCACTACACCACTTCCGCCCTATCCGAAGATGGCACAAATAATTGACGTGGCCCTTTTCATCGAAAAAAACCGAGCAATTTACATTTTTGCGTTAATGAAAATCAAACAACATCATTCTTCAATTTGACAGCACAACCGGAACGATAAATTTACTCGGACAGTTTCATCCGAATTCCAGAAACACTGAAAAACGTATAGCTGGCACTAAGCAATTGGGGGCCCGGCGGGGGGCAGTGCTATATACTTACCAGTCTTTAGCTACGCGACAGCGGCTGCTGAGAACAGGCCTTCATTGCGTCGATGATCTTGACCTCCAAGTCCTCTCGAGACAAAATGGTTTGGTTCGAGCCTACTTCCCCTGTTTGCGCTTGTTCTGCCATGGAAGTGTAGGTGATTTCGCTGCAGCACATTGCAAGATTTCATTGATGCGCGATGAAATACTGATATACCGATTGTCTACATATTCGAATTTGGAGGGAGGTGATATTTAGATACGAGCCAAGGTTGGATGTTAGGAACAATGTGAAGGTGAACAGCCGTTTGTTCTTCGTACAAATTTTGCCAAGGGTCATTTTTTGAGAATTTTCCCGTTTCATCGCACATATCCCCGCGCAACGCCCATTGCGCTGGCTAAGCGTGTCAGGTAGTTTCAGAATGACCTGCTAATCACATAATATTTTACTTCTGTTATCTTTTTTTTCTGACGCTAGCTATAGAAACATTCATTAGAGTAAGGTGGATGTAGGGAAGGAGCAGCAGAATATGTTCTAGAACATTCTGCGAATGCGCACAAGGTGCGCTGCTGCCCCGAGCAAGCCCATGCTCTACCTACATATTGCAAACTTGACCCGCCCTCCTCAGGTGATTTTTGATGCAAAAATTACAAACATTTCGGGGACACTTACTAATTTGTGAGGAGCGAACAGACAAACAAATTCTGCTTTACATGTTGGTATGACTGGTCGTCCTAGACTTAGATGTCCTAAGAGCCAGAGCTTGTTGAAAACCTCGATAGCTCAAGTTAAATCTTAGTACTATCATAAACCATGTTATCCTTCACTCACGTGCGTACCAAGTCTCATCGCGTGAAGTGACATGTGGTGCGTTTCAAGGGAGGGAAGCTCCGGGGTGGGTGTAAAAGTTAAGCGAAATGGTTCACGCCCCGGGGTTCCCTCCCCTTGCAAAAATTGGAATTTCTGTAGCCGACAAGAACTGTCGCACCACATGCCCTCCTTACTGGATGAGACCCTGCGTACCCAATGCCTCCTTTCTTGAGACAACTTGGACAACAAACGGAAATGGGAGGGCTTTTCTTTCTCTTCTTTTAAGAGGAAGGAGAGCATAGGAACTCTTGTTCGAAGCTGTACCCCATAGTGTGTCGTTGCTCATTGCCGTTTGGGCCCTCTCATCGTTGCTGATAGTAAGAAGGGGTGCATTTTAGTTGTGCTCAATGACGGAACACTTTGAATGATTTTGTAGAATTCCTAATGGACGAAAGACAATTTGTTTTCCAGAGAATGGGGGAATATGGATGTAATGTTTGCAATGAGGAGTATTCAGCATTAGATGAAAAGCGAACGCCCAGAGTGCTTACAGGTGATTCTGCACTATGACACGCTATATATTCCTGAAACATATTATTCTCATCCAGGTTGCGGGCATACAATATGCCAAGGATGTGCTCAATCAATTTGTAAGCCAGGTGGATCCCATATAATATGTCCGTTTGACAGGGTCAGCACTCCTGTCGCTAGTGGTAAGTTTCTGTTACTGACATCATGAGTTGAGTGTGAAAAAGTTCTTCTTCAAGGGGAAGTACGAAACCTGAAGAAGAATTTTGCTCTATTGGAGCTCATCGAGAGGATTCAGCAAGCGAACTCAGGGGAGGTGAGGTCAATTTATGAACACTTCTTAGTACGCTCACTATCACGACATCTTCCTCTCTTGAAAATACTGTTCGATCGCAGTTATTTTTCACAACTGCCTCACATTCGCTTACGTTTCGATTGTGAAGCACAGTCCATATGTCGAAGTCTGATTAGGCGTGTCTATGGATCTGACGTGGCGGCTGCCGCACTTGATAGAAGTTGCGCGGATAAGCTGCTTCCAGCATGCTTTGCTGATATCTAGCGGATGAATAGAAATGACTTATCCCCACCACTTCTATCAAATGCGGCGAGGGCCACGTTAAATCCATAGACACCTAATAAGACAGCGAGGTATGGCTTTAGGTATCGTTAGATGCGTATCTTGCGATTTTGCGATCGCACATCTATATATCCGTGTATGCATAAGTTGCCTTACAGATTGATCGGTATGCTCGAGATCGTTTGCTTGGTATCGACTGTGACGAAGATCCTTGTCACACTGCCGTACTTTTCTGCACTGTTTGTGAAAGTCATTTGTGTGAGAGGTAATTTTTTTAACCATCAGAAGCGAGTTGTGATTTGGTCTTGCCTAATTTTTAAACGTTTTCTCAAAAAAAAACTTCAAGATTTTTGCATGGCTTTAGGTCACACTTTCATAAGTTTGATTCTCTGGGCGCTATCGCAGTATACGGGGGCATTTCGTCTAAACGTGTGCATACTGGTCAACTCGAGGCTACATACTTGTGCGTTCCTACGCATATCGCCTGTTTTTTTTTCTGATTTTGAAGCGTTTAGTCCTCTTGGTGCTATGCAAGATACGGGGGCATCCTCCTGGACTAATTCAGGAGGAAGCAGGAACATTGGGGAAGCAGAAAAAATTGCTCAGGTGATCTGGAGCCTCTTCTTCTCCATTTTAGACTTATTACTTTTTGGCAGAGAGGAGGTGCTTTACGCGCTTTGAAATGCACTGCCACCACAATGCTCCGTATCTTGCGATAGTATT